ATAAGATGGAATATCAGTGTTGTGTTAATTTGTATTTTTCTAATGACCAAAAGCATTTCTTCATGTAATTATTGGCCAGTTGTACTTCTTCTGTGAAGTATCCATTCGTTTCACTTGTCCATTTCTCGGATTAGCTCTTTTATTTTGGAGATTTAAATTTTTGGGTTCTTTACATATTCTTGATATGAATGGCAAAAAATATTTCCCATTCTGTACATAGCCATTTCACTCTTGGTTGTTACTTTTGCTGTGCAGAAGGTTTTCAGTTTTTTGTGATTTAATTGACTGGATTATGAGAACGTTTGTGTGCAACCAAGAATCTGTTCCTAAAGTCTTTTTCTATGCCTATGATTTCAATAGTTTTCCCTAGTTTGTTTTCCAGGTGCTTAAGTGTTTCTCTTTTAACCTTAGATACTTTGATCCACTTTGAGAAAATGTTAGTACATAGAGCTGTGTTCAATCTTCAGCATGTGAATAGCCAGTTCTCCGGAAGCATTATTAAAGAAGCTACATTCCTTGCAGTGTACACTTTTTAGCTCCTTATCAAAGATCAAATAGTTAAATGTGCTTGGTATTGTTTCTGTATCTTTTGGTTCCATTAACTCTCATGTCTGTTTTTGTTCCAGTATCATGTTTTATGACAGTAGCTTTGTAATAAAACCTCATTTCCATAATTAGGATTCTTTGGGTATACTGTGTGTCTTCTGCTGTCATATAAGTTTTTGCTTTTTTTTTTGTATTCTAGTACAGGGTGTGCAGAGACTTATGATACAGATTGGACTTGTAGTGATCCTCCCCTTTTCAGCCTGCCAAGAGCTACGATTACAGGTGCACACCACCACGTCCAGTCTCAATCACCATCTCAGCAAGCCCCAGGGTGGGACTAGCACAGTATGTCAGGGATCAAACCCCGGCCTCTGCATGTGCCTAAGCAGGTGCTTTAATCCACTGAGCTATTTGGCCAGTCCTTGTGCATGGTTTTATCTTCTGTGAAGAATGCTGTTAGAATTGTGATTGGATTGTATTAATGTTGTACATCTCTTTTGGAAATATAACCACTATGACTTTATTTATTGAACTTATGTAGAAACAGTATTTCTTTACATTTTCTGATATGCTCCTTCATTTATTTTTTCAAAGTGCTGTACTTTTTTGCTGCCATTGGAAACAGTGTATTTTTCATAATTTTTGTTTTCAGTGGGTTTACTGTAAGTCTTTGGGGATGGTATTGAATAGAATTAACTTGTGTTTTGTAGCCTGCTACATTCCTGAGTTTGGTTAGTAATTCTCAGAGTGTTTTGGTGGATTTTTTTGAGTCTTCTATGTAGAGTATCATGTCATCTTCAAATAACCCAAATTTATTTCATCTTTTCCTCTCTCTCTCTCTCTCTCTCTCTCTCTCTCTCTCTCTCTCTCTCTCTCTCTCTCTCTCTGTCTTTCTTTCTTTCTTCTTCCTCCTCCTCCGCCGCCGCCGCCGCCGCTGCCGCTGCCTCCACTTCCTCTTCTTCCTCTTCTACCTCTTCCTCTCCCTCTCCTTTCTTCTTCTTTCTTGTTCTTCTTTCTTTGCCTAGTTGTTCTTGCTACTCAGGAATGATACTGGACTTCCTTGTCTTGTTCCTGATTTGTCGGGACAGATTTCTGTTTGGTACTTTTAATATGATACTGGCAACTGGTATGTCATAAATGGCTTTTATCATATTGTGATAAGGCCCATCTGTATCTATTGTTTTTTGCAGTGATTTTATCCTGGAAACACATCTGTTTTTCTTGGCTGATGCTTAAGAGTTTATCTTAATGGAAAACTTTGTTTCTGGTATGAAAAATTCATTAGTTACTATCTACTCCTTCATAATTCTGAGTAGTGCTAACTACTGACCTTTGTGTCTGTCCCAGGATCCAACTAACTCTATATACTTGAGGTGGAAGTGTGCAGCATATTTGGCCCAGTACAATTTTGCACGAAAAGGCCACAGTATCATTAATGACCCCAAGGCAATCAGATGTTGGCATTTCAAGAAAACCACATAATAGCAAGTTATGCCACTTTGGCTCTGGTGATAAAATCAGCGATAATTGCAATATCAGGTTCAAACTAAATGTTGAGAAACTTTAAAGCCCAATAAAGTAGCACACTTGTCCATAGAAAAGAGATCTATAATTATATGTATGAACACTAATATCAACTAAATATTACCCACGATTTACCTAGAGTAAATATTTATGAACTGGAACAGCTTTACGTCTACTACAATAGCACAGTATTCAATAGCAATAACATAAAGTTACATATTGAGGGATTTATAATTTGCTAGTTATACTGGTAAAGATGAAGGCAGTAGGGAACCAGAGAATGAGAAAAATAAAATTTGAAAAATGAATGTATTATGAGAAAGAAGGGAGAAATGTTAGCTAAGTGGTTTTACTGAGTAGTAAATGAAATAAATAGTAATAGATACTAAAAGATGCTATAAAGAAAAGGGAAGAAAAACAACACATTCAAGATATAAAATAATAGAAAGGAAGCAAAATAGAATTTGAAAATGAGAAAAGTCCAAAGTAATAAAAAAAGAAGGGCTGGCTAAATAACTCAGCAGATTAAAGCACCTGCCAGCAGGGGCAGGGGCAGGAGCGGGGTTCTATCCCAGGGCCTGCCATGCCTGCCCCATCTGTGGGACATGCTGAGATGCCAATTGAGATTGGGCTTGGTGGTGCTTGCCTGTAATCCTAGCACTGGGGAAGCTGTAAACAGGAAAATCACTATGAGTCTGATCTAGTAGTAACACCCTTGAACACCCAGTAGATCCTTCCCTAAAATACAGATAAAATAAAAATAAATTAATGATGCATATTTTACCCCTAGAGAAACCATAAGAAACTCTAAAATCCTGATATGAATGAGAGCCTAATAAAATAAAACAACACTGAAACTATTTTATTAAACAAAATTAGTCGGGAAAAGAGAAACAGAGATCCAAAATTAGAAAGGGCTCATGGAGAATATATAGCACGATGGTAGAGAAAAAACCAGCATTGGTAATTACTTCAAATGTGTAAACTGAAACAGAGGCCAAAAAAAAAAAAAATAGGACTTATACTTTTTTATTAATTCTATTGAGAGCAATAGCAATGAGACAGTTTCAAATCAGGTTATTAGGACAGTTACAATAATTAATACACTGCATATTGTTGTCTTTGTAGTAATTATTCATAGTTCAAGATGCAGACATGCTAGCCTGTCCAAACACTTTAGTGCAAATCTTTCTTCGCATTGAATTAAGAGAAAGTAACTGTATTCTCTCCTATTTTGTATATACAGATACAAAATGGTCCTTTATTTATATCCCCCTTTTTATTTAGTTTTGTCAGAGATGGTATTCCATTAACATTTAAATATTGTAGGTGCATGAATTCAGCAACATAATCCAATATAGTCCAATAGTCCATAATAGTAGTAGGTTATCTGTAGGACTGGCAACGGCAGAAGTTTTTACCTGAGCCTTTTACACCTCCACATACTAATATGACTTTACTTTTTCTAGCTTGTTTTCATACTTTTCTGCTGGATGCTT